CTTTTTTATTGCAGTCACACACTTTCTCGACATTTTCAGTGAGTTATCTACTACAACTCCAAGATCTCTCTCTTGGTCAGTCTCTGCCAGTTCGGACCGCATCAATGTGTATTTATAGTTAGGATTTTTGGCTCCGATGTGCATCACCTTGCACTTGGCCACATTGAACCCCATTTGCCACGTTGATGCCCACTCGCCCATCCTCGACAGATCCCTTTGGAGTACCTCACAATCCTCCCTGGCTTTCACCACCCTGAACAACTTCATATCATCTGCAAATTTAGCCACTTCACTGCTTACTCCGAACTCTGAATCATTGATGAACAAGTTAAAAAGCATCAGACCGAGTACTGATCCCTGCGGTACCCAACTGCTTACCACCTTCCACTGAGAAAATTGCCCATTTATATTCACTCTCTGTTTCCTATTAATCAGCCAGTTTTTGATCCACAAAAGGACTTGTTGTTTTATCCCATGATTTTTGAGCTTACTTAGGAGCCTTTGATGAGGAACTTTGTCAAAAGCTTTCATCCACGCTCTTATATATCCGTCTTGGTTCTAAACTGTACTTTCAGACTGTGGTCAGGTGACTAAAGCAGAACAAACTGTAGCCGAATCCAGTCAAGACAGATGTAATATTGGTTGGGAAGGTTGGTACTTTAGTGGAACTGAATCCACTTGTCCTAGATGGAGTGACATCAGAGCAGGTTAAGAGCTTGGGGGTGCTCATGAACCCTGCCTTGCTGTTTGAAAAGCAAGTTGGCATGGTGGCCAGGAGCATCTTCTATCAGCAGCATCCGATTCGCCAACTTTCTCATTACCTAGATTCAGCTGGTCCATGCTTCTGTAACCTGACAGTTGGATTACTACAACAATTTCTACATGGAGCTGCCCTTGAAGATGATCTGGAAGTTACATCTGATCCCGAATGTGTCAACCTCATGCATGTCAGGGGCTACCCGCCAGGAACATATGTTGCCCATTTTGAAACAGCTTCATTAGCTGCCAGTCTGTTTCTGAGTTTAATTCAGTGTACTGGTTATGACCTTTAAAGCCCTTCATGACCTTGGACCCACATATTTGAGGGACCATGTGACGTTCTTGCTTATAGGGGAAATGGGTTTTGCCTTAAAACACTCTCTGAGTACATAAACTCGGTAGTTTTCTGCTGTCACCAGGAATTAAAAATTTCAATTCTCTCTCTTTTGATAGTATGACCTAGGGTCTGGGCACTTCAGAGGACTATGTGGCCCTGAGGAAGGACTATTCTCTCTCATAGTCACACAGGCAAAACTGTTTGTCTTATTCACACTGAATAAACCATTTGTCTAACCACACAGGATAGACACAACTTGTTTCTTTGGCCATATAGACTCTCTCACAAAACTCTTATAGTCACACAGACTAAACTTCACACAGACTCTCACAGAAAGGCACCAGACAGGGTTGTCCCCTATCACCGTTATTATTTATCTGGGTGTTGGAGATACTTCTACAAAAAATACAGCAAGATCAAGAGATAACGGGACTGACACACAAAGGACTTAAATACAAATATCGAGCATTTGCTGACGATGTAATGTTCATTGTGCAAAACCCGACAGACAAATTACCGTTACTATTCCAAAAAATAAAGGACTTTGGAGAATTGGCCGGATTTTATGTCAATAAGAACAAGACGAAGCTTATTTGTAAAAATATGACGAAACAAAAACAAATGGAACTGCAAGACCTGGTACAATGTGAAGTAGTAAAAAAGACTAAATATCTTGGTATTGAGTTAACTGCAAGAAATATAGACTTATATAAGAATAATTATGAAAAACTATGGACTAAGTTAACTCAAGACTTTAAGAAATGGGACAAAATGAATTTGTCACTGATGGGAAGAATATCAGTTATAAAAATGAATGTCCTACCACGTTTGATGTTCCTGTTCCAAACAATACCAATTCTGCATAAAACGGATTTGTTGGCCAAGTGGCAACAAGAGTTGTCAAAATTTGTTTGGGCAGGCAAGAAACCAAGGATCAAAATGAAAATACTTTGTGATGCCAAAGAAAGAGGAGGTCTACAAATGCCAAATCTTAGACTATATTATGAAGCGGTTTGTCTAACATGGATGGATCAATGGGTGAAGCTTGAAAATGACAGATTGTTGGGGTTGGAAGGGCATGATTGTAGATTTGGCTGGCATGCATATTTATGGTATGACAAGATAAAAATGGACAGTTTTTTTAAACTTCACTTGGTGAGAAAAGCTTTGTATATGGTATGGACAAGATATAAGAAGTACCAGAGTGACTTAAGACCATTGTGGATTGTACCAGTAGAAGTGTTGATATCTTACTCAAGACAGCGAGGTAGAGACTGGTTGCCATATAGAGATTTAATTAAAAAAGAGGGAACAGAGTGGGTAATGAAAAAGCAGAATGAAATTGAATATGAATATGAGTGGTTGAAATATATGCAGATTTATGATCTTTTTAGATCTGACAAAAAAAACTATGGTTTTAGAGAGGAAAAAAATGAAATTGAAAAGGTTTGGGAGAGTGGAGGAGGAAAAAATATTTCTAAAATGTATAAGGTGTTGTTAAAATGGTATACTGAAGATGAAACTGTTAAAGAACAAATGTTAAAATGGGCTATTAATATGAATAAGGAAGTGGCTATGGAAACCTGGGAATATTTGTGGAAAAATTCTATTAAGATCTCGACATGTACTAATGTTAAAGAAAATTGTTATAAGATGATGTATAGGTGGTACATGACACCTAAGAAGATTGCAAATATGAATCAAAATATGTCAAACAAATGTTGGAAATGTAAGAGGCATGAGGGCTCATTTTATCATATGTGGTGGACTTGTGAGAAAGCTGTAGACTTTTGGACAAAAGTCCACAATGAAATGCAAAAAATACTGAAATGTTCTTTTAAAAAAGCACCGGAAATTCTGCTTTTGGGACTCAAAATGGAAGAAGTCAATACGACTAAAAAAACTTTACTCTGGTACCTGATAGTGACAGCGAGAATGATTTATGCTCAGTTTTGGAAGACGGAAAAGGTACCAGAGGTTGAAGAATGGATACAAAAAGTTCTGTTCATGGCACAAATGGATAAGATTACAAAAAAACTGAATAACAAAGAAGACGATGAGTTTTTTGGAGAATGGAATGATTTTAAAATTTATCTGGAAAAGAACTGGGATGTGAAACAAAACTTAATATGTTTAGATCAATATTAAGTCAAACGATGTTATCTTTAGATTGTAATGATGAGAAACTGATATTGTTGATGATATGAAGTAATTTGGAGCAGGGGTGGAAGCATTGTGGGAAGCCATTGGAGGGAGGGGAGGAACTGGGAATGGGGTAGACAATTGATAGAATGATATGATTTAATCTTACATGTTGTATTCCTGAGAAAATAAAATTTGTTTACCAAAAAAAAAATAAACTTCACACAGACTCTCTTCAAAACTCCTCCACACTTGTCTCTCTCCCGACACACACACACAGAATCCTCTCAGACACCCCTCCTCCCACACCCTCAGTCAGCAGCCAATCAAATCACACTTGTCACCCTCTATCGCTCTCCTTACATTACTGCAGTCAAACTCAACATTTAAAGACACATACACAATCACCAAAACATGGAATCATTACAAATCCCCCCCCAGTCCTTAAGCGGAACACATCTCTTTTCCCAAAGAGTTGGGTGTAGCTTCTTCTTATGTAGTGAATCTCTTACAGTCTTTAGTCTGGAAGTTCATTTTAGTCCATTCTTCTCCTCTGTTGCTGTTACTTTAAAGTCTGTGGTTTCTTTAACTCACAGTCCCACTCTGCTGGGATGTTGTTTTCCTCTAAGTGATGTCCTCTGTTAGGCTGCTGTCATCTCTGGGATGTTCCACTGCTGGACTATGGTCATCTTCCTCTCTGGGATGTTCCACTGCTGGGCTTCTGTCATCTTGGCTTTGGTCTTCTCTGCTAATGTAATGTTCAGCTTCAAACACTGATGGTCTCTCTTCATCACTGTACAGCATCTCATTACGCAATGCATCATTTGTAGAATCTGTTGTCCCCCTGCCTTTTTGTGCAAGCTTTGAATGTGGAAACACTCTCTGCAGGATTTCCAAGATTCTTTGAAGTGTGTTTTCAATCAGTGGTTTTGCAACAGTAGACAGTCCTTGTCTAGGTGAGGCCACTGCTCTCAGAGAGTCAGGTATGAGTTTTAGCATAACCACTACAAAATCTTTAGCTGCTATATTAACAGAAGAAATATGCAACTGGAACTTTGCACTACTGGTGTAAATTTGAGGATACATTGACACAAGGCACACAAATCAGCTTCAGTGCATACGGACTTGATGTCAGCCCTACAATATCCAATACGCTTTTCATCTAACTCTTCAAAGAGCATCTCTGATGGCTTAGGGAACCACTCTCGTGTATGACTTTTGAGGAACTTTCTTCTTGCATCTTATGAGATCTTAGGCCAAAAGTATTTTCTCACTATTCTTTTCTTGGTTCTACAAATTCCTAGATGACCTGCACCTTGAATATCAGGTGTCAGCAGTGGGATCATCTCCTTCCATAAGTCCCTGTGCACCAACTACCATCATCAGGCAGCCATCTGTTGGCTATCCCACCAGTTAGGGTGGCCCATCTGGCATCAACCAGAGCCCGGGCCTTTTCCATTGTAGCTCCCACTCTGTGGAATGTGCTCCCTGATGAGGTGGGAGGGCCCCCCTCAGAGATGTTCAAGAGGTGCTGTAAAGCTTGCGTATTTACCAGAACTTTTGAGGGGGATTGAACAGCAGGCATCTTTTAAGGGGTGGAGAGAGATTTGTGGCTTTTAAAATTATTTTTGATTTTAATAGAATTTTTAAAACTATTATTGTAAACTATCTTGAACCACAAAGAAAGGCAAGATATAATGTTAATAAATAAGTAAAATATATATTAACAACAATGTTTGAAACCTAACTTTTTGTCTTTCAGATTATACTCCTATGATTTGGTCAGCTCCAAAGCTATTTTAGCAGCTCAGCACAGTTCGATTCAGCACATCTGGGTCTGTACCAAGTTTGTGGAACCATTCCAAGCCCAGCTTGGGTCTGTATATATTGTCCTGGGGGAAACTGAACTTGGGAATGGTAAGATCAGAGTTTCCGTCTTCTGTGGGCCAAGGAAATGTACCTTGGCAATAAAGAGATTGTTCTTAAAATACCTCTTTTGTTAGAAGGGAAATCAAATTGTTTTTGCATAAGATAGTTTTTAGTCTTTTTGCTTTCTAGAAATGTGACATATAGGCGTAAAGAACATAATTTAATAAAGCTATCTTCACAACACAGTGTGACATATAGATTACCATCTGGATTTCACTCATTCTACATCAAGAAAGTTCAAACTTAGTTGGTACGGAAGGTAATCCAAGAAATCTTGGGGAAAGCTTAGCTTTAAAACCGGAAATATACTTGCTAAATATGATCCCGAAAGGTTATAATACGCAAGAATAATACGTAATAGGGTATATAATAACAGCTGCTAGATTACTACTGGCTAAAAATTGGAAATCTGAGGTCATACCCAAGAGGGAAGAGTTAGTGGTTAAAATACTGGAATTAGCATAAATGAACGATTTGAGTTTAATGTTGCAGAACAGGAATGAAAAGGTACATGAGAAGAGATGGGGGAAAAGTATATAATTGGCTAGGAGAGTTGTTAAGTGATTAGTGAATTCAAAATGTATGCAAGAATGACTAAGCGATGAATGACTCTGATATTTTATGTAAGATGTATATATGGAATGTATACACGTAAAACTAGAAATAAAATAAAATATATTAAAAAAAGTTCAAACTTAG